GGATGATGGACCAGCCAGGAGGGAGGTACCTGTATCAACAATTGCTTGACAGCCACTATTGCAGGCAATCTTCTGACCATTCACTAGAACACTAAGAAACAGAAATCATGTGATGGTGATACTAGAAATAAAAAAGGCTCCCACTTATTAAAGTATAATTAATATGTCCCTTAAGAAGTTATTGTGCGGGTGACTAATATGGTACTCTACTATATAATTAGTCAAGACTAAACTATGATATGTGTTTGAAACTGCAGAAAGCAGTTATAATAAATGTAGCTGGTAACTCTTTAGAGCAGGAACCTCTGCTTTTCCAATACGTAACATGCCACGCGTAGTCAACATTTTCTTTCCAGTATTTTCTTTCTTTCTAGAGTTTGACTTATCTCCCTTTCTTTTCACTTCTTATTCCTTCAGGTTATGAATCTTAAAAATATTTCATAAAACTTTCCAATGTAATGTCCAATAATAGAACTCAATCTATATACTGTATATTGTTTATAGGCTAAATAATAGTACTTATAGCAAATCCGGCTTACCTGTCCATTGAAATCTGCCAGTATGTTTGTTGACTCACAGGGATCCAGTTAATAGAACCAGTATAATAAGAATGATCTATTCCACCAAAAGTGATCATGCTCCCAGTTTCTTTCCTGAAACATGAATATGAAGTTGTCAAGCCATTTGATGTGCATTAAGTTTTCAGCTAAAATGATAAGTTTTCAAAAACCTTTAGTGTTACAAAGTGCCAGAAGATGTTCATATCGCTGTTACAAAGAACGTTAAATAATAATTGCTATTCTCCCATTCCCAGAATTAATTAAAAAAAAGATTCCACATCCTCACATGCAACAAAAGAAAACAAAAGGAGCTGCTTGCACTTTCACACTCCACCAAAACGTTCACTTTGTGCATATTTGTCCAGTAATGTGGGCTGTGGGGGGGGATTCTGAGTGGCTGAACTGTGAAGCCACCAAGCCACTATTTCCTGCAAAGGTCCATGTTCTGTCTTTAAATTGCTGGCTGAATATAAAGACAGCCAGGCAAACTCTACAAAGGCTTCCATACAAAGTTTCTTTAAGGCATCCTCAAGGTATAACTCACAGTTATGTCGAGGTTCATCTAATGTCCAATTCTTTGCATAGTTAACTTCATAGTGTGAAAATAGTTCTCTTCATACCATAACCATGGAGCAAAGCAGCATGATGCTGCTGGGGTCCAAGCAAGAAAAATGGAAACTCCCCCAACCCAACCAAGGGTCAATTCAGTGACCAATCAGGATTACAGATGTGACCACATGACATGAACTACATTTCCCATGATGCATTAACTACATTTCCCATGAGGCATTCCCTTAAGGGGACAGCTCCCAATTCCCAATTAACTATCCCAATTCCCAATTAACTACATACTGTCTGGACAGCACAGTCCAGGTAGAAGTGCTCAAGTCCAGGACCAGGGTAGAAGATCTCCCCAGTAATGAATTCTGTTCATAAACTCTATGGAGTTCCAGCTTTTTAATTGCAAAAGAAGCATCAATGTCAACACAACCATACCTGGCCCAGAAATCCACTGGCTCAGCTCTCTCTGCTGCTGAGATTGTGGAATCAGAGAGAGCCCATGCTACTTTAAACCTAATGCAGAATCATTCAGAGAACTTGCCATGAGAAGTTCCAAAGGTGCTTTCCCAAAAGTTAATTGACTTTCTTGGGGGTTTTTTCCTTGAAAAAGTTTCACTTCTCATTCAAGAAGCTTCTTCTGAACTGAAGAAACTTTTTGGATGAGAAACAATAGCAATAGCACTTAGACTTATATACCGCTTCACAGTGCTTCACAGCCCTCTCTAAGCGGTTTACAGAGTCAGCATATTTCCCCCAATAATCTGGCTCCTCATTTTACCCAACCTCAGAAGGATGGAAGGTTGAGTCAACCTTGTGCCTGGTGAAATTCAAACTGCCAAACTGCAGGCAGCTGACAGTCAGCAGAAGTAGCCTGCAATACTGCATTCTAACCACTGCACCCCACAGTGGTGGGATTCAAAAATTTTTACTACTGGTTCTGTGGGCGTGGCTTGGTGGGCGTGGCAGGGGAAGGATACTGTAAAATCTCCAGTCAGAGGTGGTATTTGCCGGTTCTCCGAATTGCTCAATATTTCCGCTACCGGTACTCCAGAACTGGTCAGAACCTGCTGAATACCACCTCTGGCACCCCATGGCTCTAAGAATCAATGAATTTTCAAGGGGGGAAAAAACCAAGAAAATCCAGTTGCCTTTTAGAAAAGCACCTTTGGGACAACCATGACTAGGATGATAGAGAATCTCCACAGACATTTTGCTGTGAGAAGGTTGGCCTTTACACAAATGCAAGCTCAATAGAACAACAGCTGTCTTATTCTTTGCTGTTTAATCATTTTAGAGTAATAACCGATGGCCATCTCCTACACTTTAAGAGTACAACTCAATTCTTATTCAGATGAAATGATTGGGTTACCAAAGAAATCTATTCCATGGTGAATTTTCCTTCCACCACTAACAACTGGTAGATCAAAATATTATTTACCGGCTGAGATAAAAAGAAAACAAGTCTTGTTGCACTAAACCTTCTTTCACCAAATTATCAAATACAGGAGTTGCTTGATCAACTGAAATTGAAGGGTAGGCTAAGCCCAGGATGCCATCAAACTTTGCATAGGTAAAAATGCTTCCTGGCTCTTCAAAGCTCAAACCAAAAGGTTGATTGGTATCACTGTAGCTGGACACCTAGAAGAGAAGCAAAGTATTCCTTTATCTATTAACTTGGTGAATCCCCAGAGCAGACTTTTAATACCGGTATCATGAATGATGGCCACCCTCATAAGCCTATGCTCATATTCTTTAGAACACAATTAGATTAATAAATATCGCAGCTTCAAGACAATAACTGAGCCAACCATAACCTTTTACTAATTAATTAAAATTACTCAAGAGTCTGAGTCTGCCCAAAACCAGCAACAACTCTATTTCGTTGTGCTCTCAGGTCCAAGGCGAATATGTAGCTGCTGGCATCAAGCACAGAACTTAGTGTGAGCTGCTCTTTGTATGTCATTTCTGTCATTTTTTTCCCCTTCCTTCGCAGAAATGAGCATAAGATTTGATCTTGTTACTGGAATGTTGATGGGGTGGGTGGTAATCAATAAGGTCAAGTTGGTGCCCACAACCATGAATTTGAAACCCCCACCTCTTTTTTAAACCCCATCCCCTTAAAAAGGGCAGGAGCTGTAGAGAGCAGAGAGAGAGAATGTGTGTGTGTGAGAGAGAGAGAGAGAAAGAGCAGAAAAAGTCTATGCATAATGGAGTGACTGAAGAGAAAAGTTAGAGAAGTTCTTGGTAAGTTGAGAAAGGAGAAAGAAAGATCCAACAGTAGCTTTCCTGGAAGAAGGGAAGATCCCAAGGGATGAGAATTCTACCCTAGACCCAAGTTAGGGAGAATGGAATTGTCAATCACTGGTAAAGCCCTAGTCTTTGTGGAAGACCTACAGCAGGGGTGTCCAACCTTGGCAACTTTAAGACTTGTGGACTTCAACTCCCAGAATTCCTCAGCCAGCTTTGCTGGCTGAGGAATTCTGGGAGTTGAAGTCCACAAGTCTTA